CCCACCCCTCCCCTCTCATTTTCTTTCTCCCAGGGGTGAGGACTGAACCCACGGCCTTGCACTCGCTGGGCGAGGCTCTACCACGGGGCTCGATCCCTAACCCCCTTCCTTACGAACCATAGGCTCACATGCCCTTGCTGAAGAACTGGTTGGCGTGTTCTTTGGTTGGCCTGTCCTGTTTGGAATGGGGTACTCAGAATGGGCCATGGCGTTACGTCAGAGAACAGTGTAGGGACCACCTTCCTCAATTCTAGGTACTGAGCTGGTTTTGTCTTCCTGACTGTGGCCCCAGATGCCCCTGGCCTCCTAATGTATGCTGTAAGACAGTGTTTAGTCATTTAAACAAAACCAGCCCCTGACACGGAGATGCTTGTGGGTGCCATTTTGGTATTTGTGTTAATGTTTTACTTCACTCAAGACTTGATTTGGTATGAATTTACATGATTCATGCCCATTAATAAAAATCGGTTTTAAGATGGTGTTTGCGAGTTACTTTTGTGATGTCTGCAGTTTGGATGATTAATTGGTACTGCGTTTTCTAATGAGCGTACTCTCTGCTGTCTTTGTAGATCCGTATGTCAAACTTCTACTTGATGCCATGAAGCACTCAGGTTGGTAAGTGAACCTTTTCGGAAATGTCACTGTGTGTTCTGGAGCCCCCAGAACTAAAATCGCAGCGCTCTTATACCTGGGGCTTCTCACTTTGGGGCACAAAGCCTTCTCCGTCCACAGAGGCAGGCTGCCTGTCTTCCAGGCTGGCCTGGTGCTCTTCGACGGTCTTCTGTCCTGGCTCAGTCTCTGGCTCTGTTGTTCACTTTGAATGTCAGTAAAGGCATTATTCACAGTTTGTCTTCAAAGTCATTACCCAACTTGGCCCTTCCATCCCCCCAGCCTAGGGCATTGTGGTGAAGAAACCTTAGCTTGGATTAATTAGTAGGAGGCTTCCAGATACTAACTCAGAACGGACTAGAGGAAATGACTTGTGATATCTACTTTTTTTTTTTTTTTTTTTTTGGTTTTTCGAGACAGGGTTTCTCTGTATAGCTTTGGAGCCTGTCCTGGAACTCACTCTGTAGCCCAGGCTGGCCTCGAACTCACAGAGATCCGCCTGCCTCTGCCTCCTGAGTGCTGGGATTAAAGGCCTGCGCCGCCACCGCCCGGCTCTAATATCTACTTCTTATCACTCTGACCCATCATATATTTTCAGTGTGGTCCCAGTCAGGTGACCAGCTCCCTGATGGAATCCTTATAGACTGTGAAGAATGGAATCTGGGGAGATAGTCTCTTTCATTCTACAGGCGAGGAGACTGAGTTCTGACTGTATTAAATAATGGCCTGCCAGGTTCTCCGTAGGGGTTAGTGGTGGGAGGGCCATGCTGTGTGGTCCAGGGTGTCCCGGCCAGGGCCGATTCCTTCATACACGGTGCTCACACCTCTCCATGCTTTTCAGCGCTGTTGACCCAGGGAGGCACTTTTCTTGCGAGGACTGTGACGGAAATGTCAGTGGCGGCTTTGATGCTTCCACGTCCCAGGTGGGTCTCTTGGCTGAACTGTTTTCTTCCCTTTACTCCCTTCCGAGACTTGCTGAAAGCTTTTCACACGCTGGGCATTCTGTTTGGTGGACTCTGCGTAGGACTTTAAAAAAAAATAATCAGTCTTGGTCCTTACTCTCCAGGAGTGTTACTCTTCCGAAGGAGCTAAGACACGAACTCCTTAAACAGGTTTGAGGCAGGTTAGGATACGCGGTGTGATAACTTTCTGTTCCTGGGGGCTGGAGAGATGGCTCAGAGGCTAAGAGCACTGGCTGCTCTTCCAGAGGTCCTGAGTTCAATTCCCAGCACCCACATGGTGGCTCACAACCATCTGTAATGAGATCTGGTGCCCTCTTCTGGCCTGCAGTCATACATGCTGTATACATAATAAATAAATAAATCTTAAAAAAAGAAAAAAAAAAACCAAAAAACAAACTTTCTGTTCCTGGAGCAGGCAGCTGAGAAATTGAGCTTACAAGGAGGAATGAGTTATTTTGGCTCATGTCAGCCCACGGTCACTGACCCTCTCAAATATTATTAAGGACCCGTCTTCATAATCTTCTTCCCAGGGGCTCCGAAGAGAAGCTACAAACGGCATGAGTTATTTTCAGGAAAAGAATCTAAGTACACCAAGCTCTTTCGTCTGTCTATTTTATTTCTCTGGGATAAAATTCTATCCACACAGCTTCAGTTCTGTACTCAAGCCTAGCTCCTTTCTTGCCCGATTTCTCTCTGCATTTATCTGCTGTCCCCTCTAAGTTCTATCTTAATTTGCTCACCTTAGTTTTGTCCCATCTTGGTCTTTCATCTCCTTCTTCCCCATCTGGCTCTTCCTCATCTTCCATCTCATTCTTCTAGTTCTCCAGTCAGAATCCTCCTCAGCCTCTGAGGTTTACAGGTACATACCCACGCAACAGCAGTGCTCTAGCTCACGCAAGGTCACCAGGCTTGAATTCTTACAGGGTCATAAAGGCAGGCCAGAGTTTTCTTCAGGCACTGACCATCAGGCTTTCTTTTACAACCCAAAAGGGGAGTGGTAAAGGAGGAGGTCAACGGTTAATATATCAGACAAAGGGAATTTATGTGCTCAAACTACATTTCTAGAGGTGGTTAGGTAAATATCAGGAGTCTATAATGTTAGTATAAATACCACTAAGGCTATATAAGAAAGGAGGTCTGAGCTTAATTTACCTTAATTCAGGAGATTGTTTGGCCTTGGATGCTTGATGGGTATTTTAGATAAATACACTGTTAGGAGTTCTTGGAAGCCCACATAGCATACAAGAAAATCACCATAGGAAACGGCTAATATATATACAAAAGCTAAAATATCACCAAGACTTCTTAAGTCATGGCCTGACCTTCGGAAAGGGCCTTGACCTTTCCTGGTAGTAGCTTTTGTGATAGTAGCTGAATTCCATACATTTTCCTGTGGCTTGCAGCATGGACCCCGTTGCCTCTGTGGTCTGTGTCAGTCAGTACTTCATAGTGGGGCTGTATGTGCAGTGTGCAGTGTGTGCGGGCAGCAAGGTCACCACAGCCCCCCAGACCCAGTGATCTAACTGCCTTCCACTGGGCCCACTTCGAGTAGTGCCGCAGGATAACCAGTCCTTTGGGGCAGGAGAGTGTGGTTAAGAGCACTGACTGCTTTTCCATAGGACAAGGTTCAGTGCCCAAAAGAACAATCCGACTGCAACCCACAGAACCAGGGAGGCTACATATAGCAGGGGGCACCCTAGGGTGACTGTGGCTTAGAATAAGTTTTGGTTTTACTCAATCATCACTGGGCAAGCCTCGGTGAAACCTTTCACTATTAGGATAAGAATTTGTACTGTATCGCCGGGCGGTGGTGGCACACGCCTTTAATCCCAGCACTCGTGAGGCAGAGCCAGGCGGATCTCTGTGAGTTCGAGGCCAGCCTGGTCTACAGAGTGAGATCCAGGACAGGCACCAAAACTACACAGAGAAACCCTGTCTCGAAAAACAAGAAACAAAAAAAGAATTTGTACTGTATCAAGCTGATAATAGAAAAAAAAAAAAAAAAAAAAAAAAGAAAAAAAATTAAAAACAAAAGAAGAAAAGGTGATAGTATAATGATCGGATAAAAGGGTAGATTGTTCAACCTACTTTTTTTTTTTTTTAATAAGTTTATTTATTTATTATGTACACAGTGTTCTGCCTACATGCATGCTTGCAGGCCAGAAGAGGGCACCAGATCTCATTACAGATGGTTGTGAGCCACCATGTGGGTGCTGGGAATTGAACTCAGGACCTCTGGAAGAACAGTCAGTGCTCTTAACCACTGAGCCATCTCTCCAGCCCCTCAACCTACTTTTAAACAGCAGTGACTTGTTTGAAATGTTTTACATTGCTGTAGATTTTAGTTTATTGATACAAATTTGAAGTAAATTTTGTTATACTGTATATATATTTCTACTCTCGTTCGAGGTAGTATGTTTATGTAACTCATTTAGATCGTAATGGATAATTAAAAAATACAGATTAATTTAAAAAAAAAAAGATTCAGTGCCCAGCACCCACATGGCTGCTCACAACCATCAGTAACTCCAGTCCCAGGGGATCCAGCACCCTCTTCTGAACCCTGCAGGCAGGCATGTGGTTCACAGACATACACGCAGACAAAACACACATAGACATTTAAAAAACAATGACAAGGGAGCCAATCCTTTAATTCCTGGGCCTGTGGAGGAGAGTCAAGGTCCAACCTCTGGCAGGTGGTTGGTAACCACCATAGGACAGTGACACGTTGATTGAAAGCTACTAACAGACTCAGCTGGAAGGCCCAGAGCCCCTGCAAAGGCAAAGACAGACGCTGTTAACCGAGACGCTAGGAAACCACAGGCGCCAGGAACAGCATGGTGTGAGGTGTAGCTGGAGGGCGGGGACATGGAAACCAATGTGAGCTGTGTGGTGGGCAGCTGGGAATGCTGAGGTGAGAACCGATATCACATGAGGTAAGGTTGGAACGGAGGGAGGGCGGGAGGGAGAGTTCCCATGTTCTAGATAACATGTGTCTATCTCGTAGAATGGCGATGGGAACTAAGTTAGCTTGAGAAATAAATGAGCAATTTTATTATTCGTTTGAAGTCACTGGAGGGTTTTCACAGAATCTTGGCCGTAGCAGGTGGTTTGTGGGACATGAAGGTCATCGAAGGTATTGCACATAGCTTTTCCAATTTGAATATATAATCTACATTTAACTCCACCTAAGTGCTTTTCTGCTGGAGAATTTCTCGTGTATTTGGTTATTCATAACTGTCTACAAAACTATGGGTTTAGAGTAAGACTCCAGTCGGAATCCCAGTTCTTCTGCTTAATAGCTGTGGGCTTGGGAATGATTTTTCATACTCTTTTTTTCTTCCTTTTTTTTTGTTTTTGTTTTTTTTGAGACAGGGTTTCTCTGTAGCTTTGGAGTCTGTCCAGGATCTCACTCTGTAGACCAGGCTGGCCTTGAACTCACAGAGATCCGCCTGCCTCTGCCTCCCTAGTGCTGGGATTACAAGCGTGCGCCACCACCACCCGGCGATTTTTCGTACTCTTAGTTTCCTCGGCGGTGAATTGGTGATCACGTTACTGACAGCTCTCGGTAAGTCTGCCCACTCCCCTGCGGTGGTCTAGTAGATGATTGTTTTGGGAGCTGGGGATGTTGCTCAGCTGGTAGAGGCCTTGCCCAATGTACACGGACCCCTGAGCTCATCCCTAACAACGCATCATCCACGCTCGGTGGCACACACCTGTAATTCTAGCACTCAGGAGGTGGAGGCAGAGGATCAGATGTTCAAGGCCATCCTCAGCTACATAGAGAGTGAGGCTGGTTGGACTAGAGATCCTGTCTCAGGAAAAAAGTAATCGAGTGAACGTTTTAAAGTCTCAGCTCTCGTCAGTGTTAAAACACAGCCGTACTCTACTCCATTCTGTCTTAAATAGGAGTCTTTATTGTGAAGTCCTTCACTGATCCAGGCAATCAGAAAACCATGGGTATACTTTCAGCAACAAGGGAAGCCTCTGGTTAACTGATGCCGAGATCTGAGGAGCACAATGTTCCCCGGACTTGAGACACCTGTGTGGTCCTCTTGAGTGACATCCCTTATCCTCCTGACTGGGCATCATTCCCGCTTTTCTGAGTTTTCCCACCCACGTGTGCAGTCCAGGATTGCATTGTCTGGACTCCTGCTTTCATGCTTCGCACTTGGAGTGGTGTGGAATGTGTTGTGGACTCGGCATGTGGGCGTACGTCCTCTGTGGTTCTGTGAGATGTGAAATCCTCCAGTACGCAGTCCCCTGTAAGTCAGTTTTTCCAGCCTACCGTGTGTCCTCTCCGGTTTACTTAACTTCACTGTTGTATACTATTCCACTGTGTGTTCGCGTCAAGGTCCACCTTTCTAATAGTGTGTCCAGCCTTGTAATTGTGCGTGGTACTGCTGTTAAATATTCTCAACCCTCTCTCCTGGTGACAGTTACAAGCTCCCCCAAGATCCAGGTCTCTGAGCAGAATCACGGGCGTGGAGCATGCAGAATGCTGGCTGATGACGCTGTGGCGCAGTTTCATGTACATTCTCCTGATGCTCCTTTGCTGATGTCCTCTTCCAGCCCTTAAATGTTGACGCGCTCAGTCCTTTTTCCTCCTCTGTTCTGTGGGGTTCTGTCCCTCTGTGTTCTGTGAGGT